ACACACACACACACATGCACACACACACACACACACACGCACGCACGCACGCACACACACACACACACACACACACACACACACACACACACATGCACGCACGCACACACGCACACGCACACCCCCCCCCCCCCCCCACACACACACGAGCAGTCACAGTAGTGACTTTACTCCCTCGCACCCAGACGCTGATTTTTTGGAAACAAGTTTCTATACTTCCGATGGGAGAATCCGACATGGCAGTGCATTTCGGCGTGGCCAGGTCAAATTGTAGAATATCGCATCGAGTGAATTGCTTTATCTGAGAGAGGAGATGTTCGTGCCCTTGAGACCCGAAGTCCCGTTTCCATACGACAAAATTTAGGAGCTCTGCGCTCAGCGCTTTTCAGGGTATGAATTTCGGGTTGTTCTGGTCGGGTCGTAGCGTCGCGGACTATTCCATCGTCTTCAGCGTCGAAAAACTACTGGCCATGTGAAATTACAAGGCGGTGAGACGCTTCGTCTTCCTCTACGAGCGAATTTGTTCTGCGCCAGCATACCTAAGTATGCAATTTCGTACGCGCAGTTCGAGTGACGAGGCGTGTGCACTGTACACTGTACTGCATGCACGGACTGTGCGGTCGTTCTCGATTCTCCCATCGCTCCCATTCATTTCTGTTTCCAGCAAAAGTCCAACTTGGCGCACTTCAAATCACTATAACTCAAGAATGGCAGGGCCGATTCGAATAATACTTACAGATTTCCTATGTACTACGCCTGGGAGAATCGAATGAGACCAAAATCGAAGCGATCGGAGCAAGTTTTGGAAATTGGGTGTAGTCACTACTCACAGACACAAAAGATCTTTTTCCATGTACAGTTCCAAAAGAGCACTGAGTAGAGTCTACCGTGAGACTTGAATCTCTCTAAGGGATCACAAAGTTGACGATAAAAAAATCCACCGCTTAGGCCATGGTAAAAATTATCTTTGATTCTCAAGTACGCGCGTACCGATTTTTGGCGGCGCACCGACGATTTTTTTATTTCTATGCATGCATATGCGCACATGAAAACGGTCAATGCGAAAGGCATGAATCAGGGAGTAGTAAAATACCGGTATTTTTCTACTCCCTGGCCTGAATGTAAAAATAATGATATGAACCTGTGACGTACTTATGTGTGACCCTGGGGGCGTTCGTTTTTGATCTACAGGTTTGGGTAGAAACTACTTCTTTCGGTAGAGGTGTTCGTTTTTTGAAAAAAAAGTTCTACTCAAAAGGGTAGATTCTACTTTCCTCTACCGGCTCTACCGGGAAAAAGTTGGTAGAATCCGGTAGAAGTTGGTAGAGCTACGGGATTTCCAGCAAGATCAAGGATTTGTACACAACTCCATACAAATAAGAAACATTTCACGTACACATCGTGTAAACTACTAGATCCGGTAGAACAGCGTTCGTACACTTGCCTCTACCATCTACCTCTATCGGTAGAGTGACTCTACTCTACTCTACCAGGTAGCTAAAAACGAACGCAGCCCCTATCTTTGGAAATAAAAAAATGTGGGAAATAAAATAAAAAATCGCTCGCTCACACCGATTTTCACAGGCTCATGACCTGAGAATCAACTTTATTTTTTACCATGGCCTTATAAAAGGAACATTACCTAGAACTATTCCTTCTCTGTTCCGTACTACTAGTACTAGAGCGAATGAGGTCGGGTGTCTGAAGGCAGGGGTGGTTAAACTCAGTGCCCGCAAAGTGGATTTTTCCGCAAATCTTTTACCTTTACTAGACTCAGATGGTGAGCCAAGGAAAAAATTGTAACATGGAAAAATGTGGGCACAAATAATGCGATCAAGTCCGCCGTCTCAGTACTTCTTGTCAATTTTGTGCTAGCTTGTGCACGTCTGACTGTTCAAATCTGGTTTAGTTGGTGGACTCGGTGGCATAACTTGTGCCCGCATTTTTCCACGTTGCAATTTATTAGACTCGCTAGACGTTCAACTCCTGCAGTATGTTAACTTCAACGTACCTGAGCAGATCGGAATGAACTTGTCCGTTGACAAGACAGCCGTGTTTACCGCGAGAGATCCGCTCGGAGTGACGTACGCTGCACCGGTCTGTGTCCAAACAGTAATACCGGCGGGGACGCCGAGGACAAGCGACATGCCTTTCAGGAACTCCGTCACGCACCCGACGTTGACCAGCAGTGTAGAGTTGAGCAGAGTGTCATTGCAGAGCGCGCGGGCTTCGGCATTCGTGACTGCTTTGACATTGGCCAGTCGGAACGGGATGGAGAGAATCTGCGGGGCGCAGTCCTTGCCCAACTTGGCTGTACGGATTGACATCAGATTGACATAGGCGAAATACACTCAATCATGCACATTATTATGATTATTATTAATATTATGCTTCTGTGCGTTGACATCACCAAGCAAGTTTGGCTAGTCTTCGCATAAGCCAAATGAACAAAAGAAATTAGAAAGAGCGAGGCCAATGAGATGAACACATGCGTGCAACTGCAGAATAGGCAAAAGGCATACACATGAACATGACAAGGCAGTCCTAAAACACACACGAAATGTCAACTATTTACTTCAACAAATACAACTGGAAACGAGAATCATGCGCATGCATACAGAAATAGACATGCAGAAAAAACACAGACACATGCATGCGTACACAGATATGGGTCATTGCAGACACACCTTTGACCTTTGACCTTTTGACGCGCATCACCGGAGGCGATGATAGCGATGCTACAGCAGAAGCCATAGCAGCTTGTGCTGGGATTGCACCACTGTTCAACAGCTTGCAAGGCTGAAGAATTGACCGCCACTATTTCGGCGCCATCTCAAGGGCATTGATTTCCCTGCCTCCGGCCAATGCAGGGATAGAGCTGCTACTGGGTCTAGATCTGGCTCCATTCCATGTCCCCCTCCGAGATGCACCGCACAGCTATGAAGTGCCTTTTTCTAGCCGGTGAATCCCTAATTTTTGGTCTTTTTTATTTTTCAGGCACACATCTCACCACATACTCCAGCATGCACTGGCTGTTGGTAGCCACCCCGGAGAATGAAAGAAAAGTCAGGAGGGGTCTGAGACAGAGAAGAAAGACGTATGTGACCATAATCGTCGGGAATCGAACCCGAAACCTCTCGATTGGAAATCGACTGCACATACCACTGCACCAAATTATGGGACACCATTGGACGCCCATCGCCAGAGGCGATGATAGCGATGCTACAGCAGAAGCCATAGCAGCTTGTGCTGGGATTGCACCATTCAACAGCTTGCAAGGCTGAAGAATTGACCGCCACTATTCAGCCTGGTCTACACCACACAGCTATGAAGTGGCTTTTCTGGCCAGTGAATCCCTACTTTTTGGTCTTTTTCATTTTTTTCACGCACACACATCACACCACATACTCCAGCATGCACTGGCTGTTGGTAACCACCCAGGAGAATGAAAGAAAAGTCAGGAGGAGTCTGAGAAAGAGAAGAAAGACGTGTGTGACCATAATCGTCGGGAATCGAACCCGCAACCTATCGATTGGAAATCGCTGCACATACCACTGCACCATATGGGACACACACACACACACACACACACACACACACACACACACACACACACACACACACACACACACACACACACACTCACACACTCACACACTCACACACATGCACAAACCATGTCTGACATGGTCTTACCCACACAAATGGCTTGATGCTGCGGACTACCGGACGCAGGCATTTTCACACCCGTTGAGCTCATGAGATTACCATCACTCAGCCAGAATTCAAATGACTTGTTGTAGTTGCTGGAGATCTCTGCAAGCAGAGACTTAAGGCAGGGTGCATGAGCACTAAGCGTTGGCAAGGTCATTTGCGTCTGCGTACAATCCAGCTGCGTGTCGCTAAACGACCGTGAATTGTTCAAGAAGTCACTTTGTCCTGGAATGATGATCAGGGCGATGTCTTTAGCACAGCCAGTCGAGTAGCCAGTAACTGCACACAGCAAACACAATGAGACGGAAAACACAAAGACCAGCAACACACCCACACTGGTTACAGCTCGAGCTTCGCCCCATAAGCAACCTTCCGAAGATGGCTAATGATTGCCTTCAGCTATGATCTCTATTCACAAATTCACGGGTCTGTCTCCTGTGATCCGGTTTCTGGTGTTCGATGCACGCTGACAGGCTGTCCAACCGTCCCGCTCTGAGCAGGACAGTCCTGCTTTGGACCAAAACAACATTTTTATGCATTTACATGGGAGAGAAGGCTGCAAATAAGGCGACTTCCTAATAACTGACTGGTTTACGTGCACCAAAGGCAACGATTCTCTTTCATCTCAATAGTGCCCACTGATAAGTATCAATTTCTGTGTGACGTTTTCTATAGGGACAGATGTATCCTCGTTAAACCTTTTTAAAATTTAGCACAGCGCTATAATATTATAAGGCTTCAAAATACTTGTTCTGACGATGGGTGACTGGCCCGAAACGTCAATAATTTGTCAACATCATTAATAGTATAATTTTCATCTAAAGAGTGAATAGCAACTAAATAGAGCGGTTGTCAGTTGACAAACCCCCTTTTATTTAGGCTTCAAAATAGTTTAAAAATAAGTCATTGTGCGGTACTTTGGTTAGCACCTACAAGTGAACAATTTACTTCGTTATGTTCCGCGTTTTGGAGAAACACACATCAAAAAGATAATCGGACGAGCATTTCCGCACTGCATCTGGAAAAGCAAATCTGAAAAAGGCCAGCCACTGGCAATTTTAATTGGTCAAAGCAAGTTGTTGAACTGGCCAAGAGATCACTTGCGATGCTGATGGTGCAGGGTTTTCAGTGTTACGAAGTGGCTGCAGTTGAGCTTGCATGAGCAAGATGATTGTCTTTTTTCGCCGAACAGACTCTAGCAGCATTGATCACAGACCGTTTGTCGATGCCCGAGTAGGACTATAGAGGCTATGCGAATGACTCATCATAGTACATTCGCCACTCCA